GAAGAGGAAGAGGAAGAAGAGGGGAAGAAGAGGAAGAAGAGGAAGAAGAAGAGGGGAAGAAGAGGAGGAGGAGGAGGAAGAGGAGAGGAAGAAGAGGAGGAAGAGGAAGAACAGGAGGAGGAAGAGGAACAGGAGGAGGAGAAGAAGAGGAAAAAGAAGAACAGGAGGAGGAGGAGGAGGAAGAAAAGGAGGAGTTACAGGAACGGGGGGAGGAGGAGAAGGAGGAAGGAAGGAGACTGAGAATCCGCTGGGCCAGAAATGTGTCTTCAATTGTGTCTTGAAGGCTTCCAAGGCAAAACGGGATTCTCCTGGCACTTACAATCCAAAGACCTTCAGATCTGCTCCTTTATAAAAATTACTACATTTTATATTAGCGGAGGAAGATCCTCTCCCCTCTGCTCTATTCCAGCATCATCTACTTAGCCCGACATTTGGTAGTAAAGAGTAACTAGGAAAGACCTTTTAGCAGGTCATAAGGGGATGGGTGGTCTTTGCATTCTGCAGATCCCAATGAACATTTCAACACAATCTGATTTAGGCTTGTTTAGTTAAAAAAAAAATACCGGTTAGAATTCCTTATAAATAAATTCAACCATCAATATATCTCTAGTCTTTTTTCCTCCAGCATTCCTGTCATCCCTTACTGCCACCTGTCTGGTTCAGCTGTTTTGGCCAATGTGTCCAAGAGGGGCAGCCTAAGGGCCACTTTTTTTGGGCTTGTAAGCAAGCCAGGTTGGACCTGATCAATACTCGGGTAGGAGACCACCAGGAAATCCCACCTTCAGGTAGCACTGGTACGTGTTGAAGATGGCTGGTCTCTCCTGGTTGAATCGGCGCTGCATCTCCAGGGTGAGGCGGCTGATGGCCGGCTGGAAGTAGGTCTGCTCTGCGTCCACCATCAACCTCACACCCACCCCGACAGCTTTCTAAAAAGTAAGAGAGTAAAAGAGGATGATTAGCAGTTAAATCCCTTAAACATGAGCCAGCCGTGTGCTAATACAATCCTGGGTTGTATAAACAGAGGCATAGAATCAAAATCTCGTGAAGTATTAGTACTGCTTTATAAAACCTTAGTAAGGCCACACCTGGAATACTGCATCCAGGTTTGGTCACTACACTACAAAAAGGATGTTGAGACTTTGGAAAAAGTGCAAAGAAGAGCAACTAGGATGATTAGGAGGCTGGAGACTAAAACATACGAAGAATGGCTGCAACCTGGAATTAAGGAGAAACTTCCTGACAGTGAGGACAATTAACCAGTGGAACAACCTGCCTCCAGAAGTTGTGGGCTTCATCACTGGAGGTTTTTAAGAAGAGGCTAGACCAAGGGTAGGCAACCTTGGCTCTTTTATGACTCGTGGACTTCAACTCCCAGAATTCCTGAATCAGCATAGCTCACTCAGGAATTCTGGAAGTTGAAGTCCACGAGTCATAAAAGAGCCAAGGTTGCCTATCCCTGGGCTAGACAGCCACTTGTCTGAAATGGTATAGGGTCTCCTGCTTAAGCAGGGGGCCAGACTAGAAGACCTCCAAGGTCCCTTCCAGCTCTATTCTGATTAACAAGTGTGCCCACTACCTAAAAACCCATACTTTGAAAAAAAATAATACCAATAAAGCTGGGCACATACTTTTAATGGGGACTCCTAGGAAATAGCGGGTTCCTTTTCCTAATTTTGCTCTGGAGTTTCTCCTACAGCAGTGGTGGCGAACCTATGGCACGGGTGCCAGAGGCAACACTCAGAGCCCTCTCTGTGGGAACACGTGCCGTTGCCCCCGCCTTGCCTCCACCCGCGACCCCCTCCTCACCACAGCCTCCCTGGAGGAGTCGCCTCCGAGCGTGGCCCACGCGGAGCAGCGCAGCCAAGAACATGGCAGCCAGGCAGCGTAGACAAGACTCTGCCCTCATGCCCCAACATGCACAGTTGATGCTGCAGGGCGTGGGCAGAGGCCGTGTCCGCCATGGCGCTGCTGGGCTGCCTGGGCGATCTGCGGCGGGCCCTGGAGGCGGTGAGTGGCCCTGCGGGCAGGCGGGGTGGGGGCAGGGCAGGGGGTGGAGCGGGGGCGGGGCCAGTTTTTGGGAGTCTCTAAAAGGTTCGCCATCACTGTCCTACAGTTTCTCCTCTTTGATCAACCCTCAAAGTGGCCTCGCAGCCCTTGCTGTTCGCTTCCGTGGGACTGAAGCAAAACCACTGGGCTGCTTGCATTGAAAGCAAAATCAGCAACCAACTCGATCCAGCAGAGACAAGAGGCTTGATGGGGGGAGGAGGGGGGGCTGCTAAAGCAGAGGAAGGCACACACACACGTCCCCTCCAGGTTGCTGGCAGAAGCCAGAGAGAACCATGTCCAAGCAAAGGGAATTTGCCTCCCCTCTGTGACCCATCAGAGATGCTCTGAGCAGCCTATCTGCGGCTGCTGCGGCCTCCATGGCCCCCCAAAGCAGAAAGGTGTGTGTGGGGGTCTCACCTTGGCCAGGACATCCATGCGCTGCAACATACGCTTCATCTGCCTCTCCTCTTCCTGGGTGAAGCGAGACAGGAGCGGCTCAAGCTGGCCTGTCTGATGGGGTTGAGAGATGAGATTAGGAACCATTCCCAGACATAAAAAAAAATGGAGCTTGAGGACATTTCAACACTCCAGCTGCTAGTTTTGAGTCCCTGAAGGGAGCCAGGCCAATCTGGGGGTCTGGAGTTGCTTTGTGCCCCTCTGGAATGACTCCCCTGGATGCTTTCCCACATTCCTCTCCAGAGGTCAGCTTGGAGGATGAACGAGTTCCTGGCACACCAGGAGGGGAGTTGGTCAAGGGCTCTGAGCAACTGTCTGAGAGAGATTTGGATGAAGCACAGCTGCAGGAGGTGGGGAACGCATGCAGCTGCAGCTGAGGCTTCAGGTGGGGAAAGCATGCAGCTGCATCCGGTCAGTGAAGAGGAACTGTCTTCTGCACCTGATCCAAGAAACATAGGGCAGAGAAAAGGCAGGAGCAGAGAAGGTCAGCCTGATTACTTAAGAGGAGAACTCCTCGCCCTTCTTGATGGCTGCACCAGAAGCTGGCTATTTAGCCCAGCAGACAGATGGAGCCGATGCTGGGAACAAGGTGTTCATTCTCTAGTTGTGTGTTTCCCGCCTTGATTTGGATTGACACCGAACCTAGATCAAGCCTTGTGAACTCTGGATTTTTCTGGCCTCCTGAAACCCTCTTGTGCTGTGGATTTAACTTTGCCTGGTGGGTTTATATTGCCTGGGAAACTTTCAAGTGGAATTGGCCATTTCTCTGTGGATTAGCATTGGCCTGCTTGTGGCTGGACTTAATTGGGACAGTTCTAGGTTTTTGGTGAATTGTTGGGGAATATTAATAAACCCACTAAACCAGGGGTCCCCAACCCCCGGTCTGTGGACAGTACCGGCCTGTGGCATGCCAGCAACCCGTCCACACAAACAAGCAAAGCCCCATCTGCAAGATGCAGGCAGCACACAAAACCAAGCCCCCTCCGGTCCGCGAAAAAACCTCTCTCCACGGAACCGGTCCCTGGTGCCCAAAAGGTTTGAGCCCTCTGCACTAAACCACCATTATGTGTATGTGTGTGAGTGAGTGGGACAGCACATTTCTGGACGCAAATGTTTGATGCCTGGAACTGCTTTGATGGGCCTGCCTGATTTGCTCAAATCTAGTGTCCAGGTCTAATTTTTGCACAGCTATAATAAAAGCCTGCCATGCCCTTTCGACCCTGCTCTCCCTGCCCTACCCAAAGGGCCATCACGGTGCACCTGTCTGAGCACAGGAGGAGCCCCGGAAGGATCAGCAAATGTGAGTCGTCTCCCAATGTCTAAAATAGGCTTATTGTCAGAATCCAATTATATTTCATCTCTAGTTATCGACTATGGAAAACCCCATTTCTGCCCTCTCTGGATTCCGTCATACTACGAAGGGGAAGGGGGGATGAGCAAAGGGGTTTTATGGCGCTCACTTCCTTCCTTACAACTTCAAAGGGACTGAATGTGGATCGCACCAAAAGGACTGATCATAACAATAGGGCCCATCAGCTTTCATCTACTCCTCTCTGAAGTTTCCCTTCCGCCGGCTGTGAGGAAAAGGGGGTGGAAATGTAACGCCTGGGATTGTCACTAGGGTGGGGGGCTGCTTGGGAACACTTAAAACCTTGAACCGTAGGGCTTGGGCCCCAGGTCCTGTCTAGAACGCCTGCAACCATCTTCTCTTAATAAAGATGCCTGTTGGAAGAAATATTCCAAGAGTTCTGTCTTCTTAAGATGCAAAGTGGGGTGGGTCCTTACACTTATCGTTGCAACCGTGACTCTGAATGGGGGGGGGGGGGGGGGGGGGAGGAAGGAAGGAAGGAAGGGAGGCCAGAGAAGCCACAGATGCTCCCAACTGCCAGCCAAAGAGGATCCTGATCCTTTATCATTGCTTTCCACTATCTTCTTCCAGAAGAAGCTCAAAAGAGCCATTCCTGACTTGTTTAAGCTGGCCAGCCTGGGCGAGGATGGCTTTTCTGCAGCTGGTTCAGAACAGAGAAGACCCCACCCTGCTCCTCACTTAGCTGCAGAGGAGAGATTACACACTGCACAGAGTGCGAAGAGTTACTTGATATATCAGATGGGCGGCATGTAAATTTAATAAATTTTAAAAATACATACACCACCAATCCTAAATGCTGCAGACCTGCCTCGTAGATCTTGTTAAACAAATGGATGTTCCTCTACAGCAGTGTTTCTCAACCTTGACAATTTTAAGGCATGTGGAGTTCAACTCCCAGAATTCCACAGCCAGCATGCTGGCTGTGGAATTCTGGGAGTTGAACTCCACATGCCTTAAAATTGTCAAGGTTGAGAAACACTGCTCTACAGAGTTTTGCAGCCCTGACATTTACTGGGGAAGGGTGTGTGTGTAGGCAACTCATTGAGGACTAGTATTGGCTGGTCAGTTCCCTTTAGAGCAGGGCTTTTCAACCTTTTCACCCATTGTACCACTTTTAGGATATGGCAATATCCGAGTACCACCAGTCGCCTAGCAAGGTGTCAAAAACTTGATGACGCCCCCCCAAAAAAGTGATAAAGTACAGGTAGTCCTCGACTTACAACAGTTCGCTTAGTGACTGTTCGAAATTACAATGGCACTGAAAAAAGTGCCCCACAAGCCACAGCCGAGCAAGACACCTGCCTGCCCACCTGGTGGCGCTCTTCCTCCTGTCCGAGGTTTTCATTGTTGTGAGCATTTCTGTTGAGGATTGGCAGTGGGGGTGGGATGGGGGGTGTTTGGTTTTTATTCCCCCCGTCTGCTGGGTGGTTGCAGCAGGTTTTGGTCACTTCACATGACCCTGGGACACTGTGACCGTCATAAATATGAATCAGTTGTCAAGCATCTGAATGTAAATCACAAGACCCTGGAGAGGCTGCAACATTCCAGCTGATCGGCACTTCTTCTGGGCTCAGCAGAAGCACCAGGATCAGCGCCAGACTTCAGCTGGATCCTGGCGCTGATCCTGGCGCTTCTGCTGAGTCCTGACAGCCCTGCAGCTCCAGCCATCTCTCGCTCAGGCTTGTGCGGTGCTACCACAGGTTCAGCCCATTCCCCTCCCCCGCTACCACTTTTCTAGGATGGTCGTGTACCACCTGCCAGGTGCCAATGTACCACAGGTGGTACCCGTACCACGGGTTGAAAAGCCCTGCTTTAGAGCAACCTCACATTATTCTGACTGTGAACCCTTGAACTGAATGTGACCTGGCCGGAAAAACTGTGCAGCTTTTCTATATATTGGGGAGAATTTTTAAACAGCAGCTGGCTAAGCCAGTGTTTCTGAACCGTGGCAACTTTAAGGCTATGCTGGCTGGGGTATTCTGGGAGTGGAAGTCACACACCTTTAAAGTTGCCTGTAAGGACCCACCCCACTTTGCATCTTAAGAAGACAGAACTCTTGGAATGTTTCTTCCAACAGGCATCTTTATTAAGAGAGAGCTGGTTGCAGGCATTCTAGACAGGACTTGGGGTCCAAGCTCTCCCATTCAGGGTTTTAAGGGATCCCCCATTAGCCCCACCCCATCACCCCCTTCTTCCAGTGACAGTCCCAGGCATTACATTCCCACCCCCTTTTCCTCACTGCCGGGAGGAGAGACTTCAGAAAGGATTACATGAAAGGTAATGGCCCCATTGTTCTTGTTAGTCCTTTTGGTGATATCCACATCCAGTCCCTTTGAAGTAGACTGAAGGAAGTGAGGGTCCTAAAGCCCCTTTGTTCACCCCCTTCCCTTCATCGTATGACAGAATCCAGAGAAGGCAGAAATGGGGTTTTCCATCGTTGATCACTAGAGATGAAATATAATTGGATTCTGACATTGCCACAGTTGCCACTGCCCTAAACCAAGAAATGTGTGGTTCAAACGTAGACCCCGAAGACTCCTAAAAACGGCTACATCCTCATCTCCATCACAACAAAGAACTTTCTTGCAAGTCTGGCATTTACCTTCAGGTTTGGAACAAGCAGAAGTTTGGAGATTTGAATCCGGGCATCGATCAAACTGTTCCAATCCAGCAAGTCCACCGTTCTGAAAAAAGATTTATTTCTTTTTTAGTTATTTTTTTTTAAAAAAATTAAATTTTATTTTATTCAAATACAAATAATACAAACATAACACATATAAATCTAAATAAAAAACAGTATAAAATACAAATATTACAGTGCACCCACACCCCTGGAGACCATTTTTATTACCTATATTTCTTCTCATATAACAACTAACAATATACAATATATTTCAATTGTGCCCTTATCCCCTCCAAAACAGCATATATTCCTAAGTAGGTTTATTCCCTTTGTCTTCCACCAAGATTGTTTTTATAAAATCCTTTCATATTTCATTATAATTATTTACTTTAATCATCCCTTTTTTACATTTAATTTCTGTTGCTAATTTATCATTTATTGCCATATTCCATTTTTCATTATACCACTCATTTCTTTGAATATCCCAATTCCGTCTCCAATATTTAACCATCCCTCATCTAGCTGCCATTATCAAATTTACAATCAATTCCTTTTTTGCTTCATTTATATCTTGTTTTCCCACCGGTAACAGTAATGCGATCCTCGGTGACGTATCTAAATTTACCTTCAAAAGCTCTCTAATTTCCCTAAACACCACGTCCCATATCTTTTGTGCGCTATCACAATCCCACCACATATGTTTATATGTTCCAATCTCTCGCACCTCCAGCAAATAGTTGTATATTTATCATCTATTTGATTTAATTTGTGTGGTGTTAGGTATCACCTCCAATCACTTTATATCCATTTTCCTTAACTCTGACATATTCTTATTTACTCTTCTGTTCCAAGTATTTTTCCAATCTTTATCGTTTATTTCTCCTAAATCTGTTTCCCAGATTACTTTTAAAAGGTTTAAAAGGTCTGGAAAAAGATTTAGGTCAAGCTCTGGTGAGTGGAGAAGGTGGAAAACAGCAGCCTCCCCCCATCCCGATTTTTATCTGGAGGAACTGGGGTTGGCTAGATGGGCCAGAGATTTTAGGAATAAATGCTGGCTTATGCAGCCCCCGTAATCTGCTCTGCCTCCCGTCTGTTTCCTGCAACAACGCCCAGCATCCTTTCATAAAAGCACCTGGCCACATTGCCACATGAAGTTAACCTGTCCAATTTATTGCTCAAACTTCCATTTCTACAGGAAAAGGGAAGTATATATAGATTACTAGTCTCATGGAATAAGAAGAAAAAGTAAGAACATCCTGGAAACTGCATTAACCAGCAATAGAATAATAGAATCACAGGGCTGGAAGGGAAGTTTTTTAGTCCACCCCCATGCTCAGGGCATGTATTCCATCTGGGACAAATGGCTGTCCAATCTCTTCTTGAAAATCTCCAATGGTGGAGCACCCACAACTTCTGGAGGCAAGCTGTTCCACTGGTTAATTGTGCACACTGTTAAGAAACGTCTACTTAGTTCTAGGTTGCTTCTCTCCTTGATCAGTTTCCATCCATTGTTTTTTGTCTTGCCTTCTGGTGCTTTGGAAAATAGGTTGACCCCCCCTTTTCCATGACAGCCCCTCAAATACTGGAACTCTGCTATCTTGTCTCCACTAGTTCTTATTTTTACTAGACTAGATATATCCAATTCCTGCAACCGTTCTTCCTAAAACATATAAGGAACGGTTGCTGGAATTGGGTATGTCCAGTTTAATGAAGAGAAGGACGAGGGGGGACACGATAGAAATGTTCCAATATCTCAGGGGCTGCCCCAAAGAAGAGGGAGTCAAGCCATTCTCCAAAGCCCCTGAAGGCAGGACAAGAAGCAATGGGTGGAAACTAACCAAAGAGAGAAGCAACCTAGAACTAAGGAGAAACTTCCTGACAGTGAGAACAATTAACCAGTGGAACAACCTGCCTCCAGAAGCGGTGAATGCTCCAACACTGGAAGTTTTTAAGAAGAGACTGGACAGCCATTTGTCCGAAATGGTGTAGGGTCTCCTGCCTGAGCAGAGGGTTGGACTAGAAGACCTCCAAGGTCCCTTCCAACTTTATTATTATTACTATTGTTGTTGTTGTTTTAGCCTCCAGTCCTCTAGTCATCTTTGCTGCTCTTCTCTGCACCACTCAGCTTTCAGTACCCCAGGAGAACGCATGCATATTGGGCAAGGGGCCTGGAATAACCCACCTGGTTGGGTCAGAGCAGAGCTTTTCCAGTTGGCAACTTACCCTGTCAGGCCCAATTTCTCACCCGCGAACCACTGCTGGCTTTCCGCTTTGGTGGCAATCCCCAGGTTGGCCAGGGCCTCCTGCCAGAACAAAAAAGTGCCACATCAGTCCTGCAGTGCCCAGTCAGGTCTGATTCTTGAAATGGGTCTTGTGCCAAGCACGAATCAGGTTTGGGATGGAAACCCGCCCAGCATTCTGAGGTCACGGTTTCCCAGTACCAACCTCCTTTCTTCAGATCTTGGCAGAAGCATCCCGAGCTGTTCTGACTTCACCAGAATGGATCCCACCTTGTAGTGCAGCGGTCCCCAACTTTTCTGGCACCAGGGACCAGTTTTGTGGAAGATAACTTTTCCACAAACCGGAGTGGTGGGGGGTGATTTCACATGTAACTAGATTCCGTGTGTGTGCAGATAAAAGTTTTACTTGCTCGCCCGCTGCTTGTGCGGCCTGGTTCCCAACAGTCCACAGCCCAGAGGTTGGGGACCCCTGTTGTAGTGGACAGTTCAGACTGGGTTTTTTTTGCCTGGGAATGGAGCTTTCTGACCTCCATTGAACCTTGTAGCACCATTTCAAGATCAGAAAGGAAGGACTGTTCAGACCTCAGCATATCTACCTCCCAGGGCCCCTATGTGAGGGAGATGGGCAGTTAATTTTAAATTTTTTTTATTGATTTTTCAATTAAAAACAATAACATAGATATGATGCATTTAGTCACAATATCAACAAAAAAAAATAACACTACTCAATACATTCACGGAAGTGTCCAGTGCCCCCCCCCTGCACCCCCCTCTTTCACTTTCCACACCTTCCTCCCCCCGGACCTACAACCTCTCCTCCTTCCTCCCTCTCTACCTACTTCCCTTCCTCTCTCAACCATCCCGTCTGGTGCAGTTGGGGTATCCACCGGGCACCTCCTTAAAAAATCACATATAGATCTACAATACATCAATTTATATACATCTATCTATTCCCTCCCCCCTCCCCCCCCAGGACTTCCCAGATGGGCAGTTAATTTGATATATAAATATTATGTACCACCTCCATTTACTGGCACAGGGCACCCTCCCCAGCTCTCATCTGCCAGCCAAG